AATAAAATGGCAAACGAAGAATGATACATGTACAGAAGGAATTAAAATTAATATATTTAAAGCTGTAAAAAAGACCTGTTTTCAAAAAATAAATAAAATCTAAGTGCAGCACAATATTTCGCATTTAAAGCAGTCACTTATATAAAAAAAAAGAATCACAAGGACTTGGGTACCTGACCGCTGACTGGACAGCGCTTCGGATTCGTAGTCCTGAGGTTCCGGGTTCGATCCCCAGTGGAGGCGGAAAGAAATGGGCAGATGCACCTGTTCACCTAGCAGTAAATAGGTACCTGATAGTTAGACAGCTGCTACGGGCTGCTTCCTGGGGATGTGTAACAAACAGGAGGCCTGGTCGAGGACCGGGCCGCGGGGACGCTAAACCCCGACATCATCTCAAGATAACTAACCCGTTTAAGAACCAAACTCAGAGATGGGAAAAATAACCCACAAACATGAACATAAATGTAATAAAAAAAGCAGTAAAGCAAAGATTCTACAAACACAACGTCAAACAAAAACAAACGTCTTCTTTCACACGTCTCTTTCAAACAAACAAACTTGTCTCTTTCAAACAACAAACTTGTCTCTTTCAAACAACAAACTTGTCTCTTTCAAACAAACAAACTTGTCTCTTTCAAACAAACAAACTTGTCTCTTTCAAACAAACAAACTTGTCTCTTTCAAACAACAAACATGTCTCTTTCAAACAACAAACTTGTCTCTTTCAAACAAACAAACTTGTCTCTTTCAAACAAACAAACTTGTCTCTTTCAAACAAACAAACTTGTCTCTTTCAAACAAACAAACTTGTCTCTTTCAAACAAACAAACTTGTCTCTTTCAAACAAACAAACTTGTCTCTTTCAAACAAACAAACTTGTCTCTTTCAAACAAACAAACTTGTCTCTTTCAAACAAACAAACATGTCTCTTTCAAACAAACAAACTTGTCTCTTTCAAACAACAAACTTGTCTCTTTCAAACAAACAAACTTGTCTCTTTCAAACAACAAACTTGTCTCTTTTAAACAAACAAACTTGTCTCTTTCAAACAACAAACTTGTCTCTTTCAAACAACAAACTTGTCTCTTTCAAACAAACAAACTTGTCTCTTTCAAACAACAAACGTCTCTTTTGTCTCTTGCAAACGTCTTCTTTCAAACAAAACAACGTCTATAAATTAAGTCATGCAAAGACTTAATCAAAACAACGAGGGAAAAGCAAGAAAATAGACGAATGTAAAACAAGAAAATAAACAAGGAGTTCCTCCCTTGTTCCCCCCTCCCCCCATGGCCTTTATCCTTGAGGGAACTACTGTCGAGACCATCTGGAGATAACCACCGAGGCCTACTGATAAGGCCCTTGATAATTTGATCTAGGCCTAAATAACCCGCAGACAGAGGCTGAGTAATCAGATATGGACCAAAATGTGTTGGCAACGAGGCTAAGGCTGGCGTGGTCAATGGCCTGGTTGGTCTCATGGGAACAACGCTGTTAACACCAACAATGAATGGACAGGCATCTCGCGAGGGGGAGACATAGACAGACAGACAGACAGACACAGACAGACACAGACAGACAGACACAGATAGACAGATATCAAGGTAAACGTATAGATTAATTAACTGTTAGCCCCATCGAGTGGGAGTGGAGGTTGAACCGTTCAATTTGGTTTAACAAACATCTTTATATATGACTCGACAAACCTCTGCATATATAGCTCCATACACACCTGTCAACATACGTGAAGGAGATTCCTGAGCTGATATCTGGGTTGTTGTTTAAGATTCGCTACCTGGAACAAAAAGTTTCATGTAGCACGGGCTATGGTGAGCCCGTAGGATATTTGGGTCTAAATTCTGACTACATCGGTGCTGCCAGTCTTCGAGCGAATGAGGACAAAATATGTATACTCTTCTATATGATTTCAATCAAAAACAAAATAAAAACTCAATCGAGAAGGTCAGCAAGGAGTCAGTCACCTGGAGGTGTTCCCTGAGTGAGTGTCGTAAAGTGAGGTGTTCACCTGCTGGGAGAAAAGCAGTCCTTACTGATAGTAATGATTACTACACACACACACTCACACGCTAACACTTATAAGAACATCAGAATCAAGGCAACTACAGAAGGTCTATTGGCTCATACGTGGCAGCTCCTATTAATATATCCACCCAAACTCATTCATATACATACACACACGTGTAGAATAGCCACAGTGAAAAAATAGTTTTTTTATTATTTTAAAACGCATTCATATATATACACACACATGCAGAATAGCCACAGTGAAATTATTATATATTTTTATTATTTTCTACCGCAGACATGATTGGTTAACAGCTGAGAACCTTTCATTTTCATTGTAATTCAATGTGGTTTTGTTGACCCTTGTCAACATTTTCAGCGGCAGCGTAGAAGTGAATACCATTTAGCTCAACCAACCGAATATTTAACCTCGTGTGAGGTGAGGTGTCATATGGGCCAATAGGCACACTGCAGCCGTCTTACTTCCTATGTTCTTATGACGGATTGGTCAGTATACTGAACGAACAAATTCACAAGGGTCTTGATGAGGGTTCGAACCTATGTGCTGGATGTTCCCAGACGCGCTCTAGTCAACTGTACCACGACATGGTAAAAAAAATTGCAACCTGGAGTGCTACTGTTCCTACGAGAATTCCGAGGCTTCCACTGAAGCCTATTCGGGGGTTTCACGCAATTCCCCGCATGCATTATTTGATATATATCACCTTATTGTGATGTCTCTGTGTAGTATACTGAATGTTCTGTCTTGGTCCTGAAGGTGACAGACGGTAAATGAGTGTAATTAAGCTGTTGATAGTTGATTGAGTTTGAGTTCTAGTGGTTCGCTCATGTCTATTCTTCTATTATCGTTGTATCTGTCGTCTATTTCAGGGTTGTTTGGTGATAGTTTGGTTACGTGTAGAGATTGTGTGTGTTTTAATCGTAGAAAAGAAGTTCCTATGGAAACTTTTAATAGGAGGGATAGATACTGTATTGTTGGTTGCTTCGTCCCAAATAGCGTGTCGGCACACCTTTTTTTATATATCTTTTGTATGTGTTAGAGTATCCATTATTGACTAGAACCTGTCATGCTCTACTGAGTTTCTCGTCCACCTGCTTTGAACTGGAGCTTTGTGTGAGAGCAAAGTTGACATAGGGACCTACAACACTTTGTACCTGTCAAGACACTCACTAATAGCATTAAAACCTATTTCTCTGTTGCTTCCTCATTGTAAACTGCATCTTGAAAGCTCCCCATTCCTTTCCGAGACTGTTACATCTTGGAAAAAATCAGCTTATCTTCGCTCTCCAACTCATAGGTAAAACGCGGAACTTCTCTAGAGTGCATTTTTAAGCTGTAGCAAGTGCTCAATATCAAGAACCTGCAGAAATGCCTTGAACATACCAACACTTGACGTAATGTTTAAGTCCATGTCAACTTTCTGTTCAACAAAACCTATGTGAACATTAAACAAACAGGACACCAACTACTCCCTCTGTCAGAATCTCTGCTTTTAATGTATCTTTTGTAGTGACCATTCTTGGTAACCTAGTTTTAATGACACTAATGAAAGAATTTCTTTCCAGGAATGGAAATAATAATAATGATACAGTATAGATCTTTCCATTTGAGATTGATAACGTCATGAATAGATGTTTTCTTGTGATAAAAAGGCACAGGTACGAAGCTCTGCTTGAGAATGGAATTAACACAATAAAAAAGATGCTCTTATGAGGATGATATTGACCAACCCGTCCTCGACTCAAGTCTATTACATCCAGCGGTCGACCCCACAGACGCATTCATAAATTTTAACATGCTGTTCATTCAAAACGGGAAATTTCTCAAGTATAAATTAATATTATAATATATTAGCATATTGTGCATATATAGGCATAGGTTAGGTTAGGTTAGGTGTTTAGGTTCTGTTGGCGATTATTTGTATTTGTAGTACGTGGGTGAAGCATTTATAGCGTTGTGATTCGAACAAAATTCGTCAGTGAAACACTTGTTCCGGATATGTTCGAACGTCAGCAGTTGTGAGTCGTGTGTAAAAGGCTTTTCATTCATAAACAGGGGGTTTGGCGGGTGCATGGAATCACTTTTGGATCTTTGTTTGGAGGACGGGCTGATATTGGCACATGAATTGAACTTTACTTATGAGTATTATAAGACTTAAGGCTCGAGTTCAAGCGCTCGAAACTTTAAGCTCATTCAGTTCAATTTGTTATGCAGTGGAAGGAACTTAAGATTTTGTTATGGAACTTAATATGTGAAGTTTCTGTATTCGAAAGTTTTATAATAATTAAATAATTCATTGTGTCGGGGGACAGGCAGCCAGAGTGTATTCATAAACGTTAGGCCTTTATAGAGGTCCCCCCTCCCGAAGGTCGAATTATTGACCCCGCCCAGGATGCAACCCCACAACAAGCAGAGTAACTCCTGAGTACCTACTCACTGCTAGGTGAACAGAGGCATTAGGTTAAAGGAAATGTACCCAGCCAATTCTGTTCCGCCCCGATATTCAAATCAGCAGTTGTCGATTGTACGTCGCAAACGAAGCCGACTATACTACCGGGACCCTTATAAATCCAGATTGGGTGTGACCAAGCAGCCTGTTGTTGTCTATGTAATCAGATCTGTATATATTTTAGCATAACATAACTTCCTTACCAGGTAATAATTTTGGTAACCAAGGGATAATAATGCCAGGTATTAAGGTATTATTTTGGGATAACAGTGCTGTATAAGATGGATAGATGCAGCATGATTGAGCTGCATCTATCCAAACCTTCACTGATGTCTGAAAGTACTGATCTTTTTAAATAAAATAATAGCACCAGATTTTTATTTTTTGAGATCTTGTCCATATACTTGTAGTGGGTTCTGGGGGTTCTGTTTCCCTAACCTGGCCTGGCTAGGTGACAGTTGGGATCATTTATATATAAAATAAATCATGTACCGTTAAACTTAATACTGTTGCTCTCAATTTTATTGTGTACGTTACATAAACAAAAGTTCAAATGATTCACGTTTCTCAATTGAGGTCGAGGGAAGCCAGAGGTAGTACCGTCTCTTCACAGATGACGAGTCCTTTACTTTCACATGGATGATCAAAAAAGGATCCGGTATACATTTCCATAACCAAGCAGTTTCGCGTATCATCAGTTAGAGGGCGCCCAGGATACCAGAAGGGACAGCCTCTCTGTACAGTGGTGCCATCGACCCAGTGCCAACTGCCTTCTTCTCCTTTGTCATAACCACCAACCCAGTGCCAGACATTTCCATCTGAAATGGTTAAATTATGTGAAAATATATATACTCTATCACTGTAACCATTTCACTACACACTACATCACTGTAATCAAAAGGTTATCAAAAGGTTATGCCTGAACGCAAATGTGTCATCCAAGTCATAGACCCATTATGGATCATTATGTTATCCTGTTTTAGTTCAAGTTATAGACTGATTAGGGTTCGGCGGATGGAGCGGTTAAGACTCCAAGGTATGAAGTATTTAGAGTCCAAGGGTGCGGACCTGTATATGGTCCTCGAGGGATTGGAAATAAATAATCTTTATTCAGATACATTACTCATAAAATCAGGGAAGAACTATTCAATGGATTCGTTTTTTGACATTCTTGAAACACGACTGATGGTTTATGGAAGTGTGGCATCACAGAGTCCACACTTCCACCCACAAATTCCTAAGTAGGTTGAAGAACTAAAGCATATAATAAAAAGCAAAATGAGTATAGAATGAAATTGAAAATAAATAAATGAATGAATAATAAAAGAAAACAATAAACTATACAGTAACAAAAATTATATAACATTAATTTCTTAAATTTTAATTATAATTGATGTAAGTGCTTACACTCTAGGATAATATGCTGTCGTATAGCGCCCAGCTGGTCACAGGAGTGGACAACCGCCAGGTCGGAGTAGTACTCGTCAGTACTCAGGCTCAAGCAGTAGTCCCTGGCGTCGTCCCTGTGAATACTCTTGTGTATTATTGAGATAAAAACACTCAACAAAGGGTCATGGAACTCGGGGGCATCTCATATATATTTATAGGACATTGAAACTCTGAAGGCTGAAAATGATCCATTACTATTCCAGACTGACCTTTACAAGCTGTTGCCGTATTAAAATATTATACAAACTTGTCTAAGCCTTTCAAAACGTGAATAGAAATTAAACTTCAAACCATATTCAATGAACCAAACTTGAAAATTACTAAAATAACTTGTAAAAATCATTTTCGATAACAAATATAACAAATTTAACTTCTTTTTGGTGTTCTTTTTTGGTAATTACTAAACAAATGAATGTCAACTGCAAATTCTGGAGGACTTGTAGTTAACATTTCGTTTCGGTAAACGTCACTCACCTTTTTGCCCGATATGTGACAAACTTATGACAACATCTACGCAAATTATATTGAAGACGAAATTAGAATTTAATGTAAATTGAGAAAGCCATAAAGATGCTAAAGGGATAAAAAACATCAGATGTTGATAAGTAGAAACACATATAGGACATTGACATGGACTCTACTCCTGTCGACATGTCATTCACCTATATTAGAAATAGAACTGGTCCCAGCACCAATCCTTGAAATACTCCACTCGTTACTGTTCGCCAGTCCGACTTTTCGCCCCTTACCGTTACTCTCTGGCTTCTTCCTGTTAGGTAGTTCCTTACCCCATGTTAGGGCCTTTCAGCTTACTCCTGCCTGCTTCTCATGTTTGAGTAGCAGTATCCTGTGTGGTACTGTATCGAAGGCTTTTTGTCAGTCTGCCCATCCTTCCACGTCCTGCCTTATTCTTGTCGCTTTATCATAGAATTCCAGAAGGTTTGTTAGGCGTGTATTCACCTAGTTGTGCTTTAGTGGGTTGAGCTCTGCTCTTTCGACCCGCTTCTGAACTATCAATCAACTGTTACTAACTACTATTTTTTTTCACACACACACTCAGAAAGCAGCCCGTAGCAGCTGTTTAACTTCCAGGTACCTATTTACTGCTAGGAATATATACAGCCGGGATCGAACCTCAGTCCCTAGGTCCACGAGTCTAGAGCGCGGTCCACTCAGCCAGCCAGCCCCCCTGTGTGTGTGTGTATACACATAATATATCAACTCACCATGACATTAAAGTCTCGTGGAAGTAGAAGCAGCTGCCAATGATGGGGATGAAGGGACTGTTGCAAGCTGCAAGAAGAGAGACAACCATCCACTCAAAAGTTCGATTGCAACATTCACAAAATTAAGCAACTTGATAACATCAAAATTATTCAGTACGAGACGACTTTCAGGGCCTCTTACTAGCGGATTCTTTTAATAATTCAAGAATGAGACACGATATATGACCTCACTTAAAGCTCTCGTCGACCTCTACATAATTGGGGTCGTTCTTATCTCCCAATTTGCTTCCTATTAATTCAAGCATATTCGAGTCAGGAATATGGACAAGGCTCTGGAGGAGCCTTGAACATAATGAACTGGACCAGATCCTGACTGAGGGACAAACACCAGAGTTAGCATTAATGATGCTGTACTGACCTTACTGGTTTTCATAACTGTCACCAACGACCGTGATACTGGAGTGACTAGAGAAAATGAACAACTTAGTATACAACACAAAGATAGACCAAGTCGTGAATACCAAAGAAGACTGAAAAGGCACATGAACACATTCTGGTGCTGGGCGGAGAAATGGTAAAATCAAGTTAACGTTGAGAAATACAAATTCCTTAACTCGGGGAAAGACAACGACGAATGTTTACACCACGAATAATAGTTATGGATGAATGGAAGTGTGAAAATGTTTAAGAGGACCACTTTGACAGGTTTCAGGAATATATTTGATGAGTGAGAGATCCGCCCTGTACGATAAAACAGGCATGGGATACGACTCCCTAATTCTTATGTTCTTATCAACAAGAATAAGCCTTAAAATAATTAAAAAAAAATTAAGACCCCAAAAATTATTTGTCCTTAAGGGACAATTATCTAAATTACGTAAATAAAATATAATATAAAATAAATGCAGCTGTAGATTTTAAATTGTATTTTTTCCCAAGAGCTAAAAATTCTCTTGAAATTAAGGTTAAGGACAAAATATGGTAATATTGCACCGTCTCAATATTTGCAGGAATGCATGATATCCTTCACTATTCACCAAGATAATGTAAAGTTCAGTTTGACTTCTTGATCACTATAGCAACCCGGCGTCTGGCCATCCGGCTCCCAACACCTACCTGACGCAGACGCCAACGATAACATAATCATCGCCACAATATAACACAAGCGCGCCATGCTGAAGGAGGTGGAGGCAGCAGTGACCAGCCTTCAGCGCTGGTGGAGGTTATATACCCACTGACGCCGACGAGAAAGGAGGGGGAACTATGCTATTGTCCAGAGGGCGACTTTGGTGGGAACATTGACTGCTGCTGATACTGCTGCGGTGCCAATCCTCATGCGAACGAGGAGAAAATATAATTATTAATCTATGTAATTTATCGTGACTTTAGCTAGACTTTTGTAACAGTGGCTCACAAAAAATTGATTAGAAAGAATATTGGTGGTAATCCTAAGTTAGATTAGTGCAGGATAATTTTACAGGAAGCAGAGCCTTCGCATAGAGTTAAGTTCGAGTGGGAACTTAACAGTATAGAGTCTTAAGGCTCTGTCATGTCATGGACCATGTCATGTCATGGAAGTTAATGTAGTTGGCGTTAATACTTTCCAGAGCCTGATAGGTGTTTAGCTTGACACTAAATTATAGATGAAATTTAATACTATTGTTCAGCTATATCTTGTCCGTGTTTGGCCTATTTAGATCAGGGCAATACAATTTTGGACATAAATTCCCTTAAACGTTCACAGACAAGGTTGACAAAGTTAATTCCAGGGAATTTGAAAGTTCCCAAATATAGTTTAATTAAGTTTTGATTTACATTATTTCAACATATGGATGAGTTTGGTTCGTAATAAAGTGGAACTGCCTCGCATTACTCAATGGCCATTCCCTAGTATTCTCCTTTTTTTATCTTGTTCCGAGATCATTATCAAAATTGGGGGAATAGTTGCGAAAGAAATTCAAGGGTGATGACAGTGACTGGAGGCCTTGGCAACAGTGTGTCTTTGCGCGAAACAAAATAAACAGAACCCTTGAGCTTATAATCCAACCTGTTCTCTTACAAAGAACGTCTCGTTTCGATCGTATGCGTTACTTAAGGCCAAAAATTGCCATACTAAAAAATGGAATTGGCTGGCGAAAGTGACGTACTGTCCCGTTTTCTGTTTTGGGTCCTCTGGTAAGTTAGGAGAGACTACTTTAAATTTACCGTTTTCTTGACGTTGGGAAACCTTAGAATGAATAGGCTGTATAATCAGACGAGTCGGTGATAAATGGACCCACACATCGTTTCCCATTTATATTTGACTGGTGAGGCTCCATTTACACTTCCCCGGCCAATTCTGGTCACCTTTATTATTGAGTGGACATAAATTAACGTAAGGTGATTACTCTAGTCCCTGGTGTTCTGGACTATCCATATCATACATGTTTTGAGAGCTGAGCTTGCATTGCCTCCTCTGGTGTGTCGAGGAAAGACATGATCAATGCCCTCAAGTGTATGAGGGAAATCAATAGATTAAACATGAGTAATGATCTGAAAAGTATCAGACCAGAACAAAACACTTCACAGTTCTCATAAGCTAGAAAAGTTCCCATTAAGGACATAGGGGAGGGGGAAGTACTGGTTTGGCAACAGGTTGGTTGAAGGATATGGTATAAGTGCTTCACAAATAGACTTGATAGATTCATAGGGTGACTGGTTGAATGGCCACTGACCAAAATGGGTCAACAGCCCCGCCACGCTGTGTTATTCGTATTTTGTTTTTATCTAATTTCGTCGAGCAGATTGGGAAGGTAATGGTCATCTGGAGGTGTTCCCATCGTGTGTCGTCGAGAGCGGTCCCGTGCAGAGCCGATATCGGTGGCCTTGTACGAGCCGTCCTTACTGGTACTTATGTTTAAAACACACATACCAAACATGGGTAATAGCAGCAATCACTGAGGCACTCCGCTTGTTACCCTATTACTTGTCCGATCCCTTGCCCCTCGACACGACTTTGACTCCACTCTGTTGAGAACTCTCACTCTTATTTCAATGATCCTTTGTTCCCACCTTCTTCTCAAGTTTCTGCTCTTATGCAGAATTGTGTCAAAAGATTTTTGAGTCCCGAAAAATGCAACCTACTTATCCTTTTCTGTTGTTTATAATTTTTGTTACTTTATCATAGAACTCTATTAGGCTCATTTGCCATGATTTTACTACAGATTTTGCTTGATTGTTTTGATAATTACTTCTCTAAAGGCGTGATGAAGTCTGTTGATATGCGTAATAATCTCTAGAGAATTTGATGTGGATTTTAATTTGTGAAATTTCTGTATTCGACAATTATATAATAATTAAATAAATCATTGTGTCGGGGGACAGGAAGCCAGAGTGTATTCATACACGTTATAAAGGTCCTCCCCCAAGGTCGAATTTCTGACCCCGCCCAGGATGCAACCCCACAACAAGCTGAGTAACTCCTGAGTACCTACTCACTGCTAGGCGAACAGACGCATTAGGTAAAAGGAAATATGCCCAACCAATTCTGACTCGCCCGGGGATTCGAATCAGGAATTGTCGATTGTACGTCGCGAACGAACCCGACTATACTACCAGGATCCTTATAAATCTAGATTGGTGTTGACCAAGCAGCCTGTTGTTGTCTATGTAATCAGAAGTTTAATATGTTTTAGAAGAACATAGATCAGAACATATATTAGAAGTATATGTTTTATCTTGAACATAACTTCCTTACCAGGTAATATCTTTGATAACCATAAAATAAGAATGTCAGGTATTTATATATTATTTTGGTAACCAAGGGATAACAATGCTGTATAAGATGGATAGATGCAGCATGATTGAGCTGCATCTATCCAAACCTTCACTAACGTCTGGAAATGCTGATGTTTTTAGGTAAAATAATAACACTAGTTTTTTTTTTTTTTTAGATATCATGTCCAAATACTTGCAGGGGGTTCTATTTCCCTAAACCGGCCTGGTTAGGTGACAGTTTGGATAATTTGTATATAAAATAAATTATGTACCATTGAACTTAGTACTGGTACACAATCCAATTGAGAGTAAGTTTTATAAACAACAGTTAAAATGGTTCATATTTCTCAATTGAGGTCGAGGGATGCCAGAGACGGTACCGTCTGTTCACAGATGAAGGGTCCTATATCATCACATGGATAATCATAAAAGTATCCGGAATGCAACTCCATAACCAAGCAGTTTCGCTTATCATCAATTGGAGGGCGCCCAGGATACCAGAAGGGACAGCCTCTCTGTACAGTGGTGCCATCGACCCAGTGCCAACTGCCTTCTTCTCCTTTGTCATAACCACCAACCCAGTGCCAGACATTTCCATCTGAAATGGTTAAATTATGTGAAAATATATATACTCTATCACTGTAACCATTTCACTACACACTACATCACTGTAATCAAAAGGTTATCAAAAGGTTATGCCTGAACGCAAATGTGTCATCTAAGTCATAGACCCATTATGGATCATTATGTTATCCTGTTTTAGTTCAAGTTATAGACTGATTAGGGTTCGGCGGATGGAGCGGTTAAGACTCCAAGGTATGAAGTATTTAGAGTCCAAGGGTGCGGACCTGTATATGGTCCTCGAGGGATTGGGAATAAATAATCTTTATTCAGATACATTACTCATAAAATCAGGGAAGAACTATTCAATGGATTCGTTTTTTGACATTCTTGAAACACGACTGATGGTTTATGGAAGTGTGGCATCACAGAGTCCACACTTCCACCCACAAATTTCTAAGTAGGTTGAAGAACTAAAGCATACAATAAAAAGCAAAATGAGTATAGAATGAAACTGAAAATAAATAAATGAATAATAAAAGAAAGAAAACAAACTATAAAGCTAACAAAAAATGTATAACATTAATTACTTTTTTAAATTTTAATTATAATTGATGTAAGTGCTTACACTCTAGGATAATATGCTGTCGTATAGCGCCCAGCTGGTCACAGGAGTGGACTATCGCCAGGTCGGAGTTGTATTCATTAGTACTCAGGCTCAAGCAGTAGTCCCTGGCGTCGTTCCTGTGAATACTCTTGTGTATTATTGAGATAAAACACCTAACAAAGGTTCTTGGAACTCAGGGGCATCTCATATATATTTATAGGACATTGAAACTCTGAAGGCTGAAAATGATCCATTAATACTCCAGACTGACCTTACAAGCTGTTGCTGTCTTAAAATATTATACAAACTTGCCTTAGCGTTTCAAAACGTGATTCCAAATTAAATTGCAAACCATATTCAATGAACCGAACTTGAAAATTATTAGAGAAAAACTCGTAATAATCATTTTCGATAACAAATTTAAAAGGGTTAACCTTTTTTTGGGATGTTCTATTTTCGTATTTACTTTCTAAACAAATAAAGGTCGACTGCAAATTCTGGAGGAATTGACATAACGTATCAACTCACCATGTCGTAAAAGTCTCGTTGAAGTAGAAGCAGCTGCCTGTGATGGGGATGAAGGGACTGTTGCAAGCTGCAAGGAGAGAGACAACCATACACTCAAAAATTCGACTGCAAAATTTACAAAATTAAGCAACTTGATAACATCAAAATTATTCTGTATGAGACGACTTTCAAGACCTCTCTAACTAGCATATTCTTTTAATAATTCAACAATGCGACACGATATATGACTTCACTTCAAGCTCTCGTCGAACTCTACGTAATTGGGGGTCGTTCTTATCTCCCCAATTTACTGCCTAATAATTCAAGCATATTTGAGTCAGGAATATGGAGGAGGCACTGGAGGAAACATACTGAACTGGACCAGATCCTACTGAAAAATAAGCCCCAGAGTTAGAATTAATGACGCTGTACTGGTCCTACTGGTTTTCATAACTGTGTCCATCGACCGTGATACTGGAGTGATTAGGAAAATGAACAACTTAGTGGACAACACAAGGATAGACCATGTGGTGAATACCAAAGAAGATTGTTACCTTCTGATGACTGAAAAGGGCACATGAACACACCCTGTTATGGGTGGTGAAATTGTAAAGTCAAGTTAATGTTGAGAAATACAAATTCCTTTACACAAGGGAAAGACAGCGACGATATTTACCCCACGAATAATAGTCATGGATGAATGGAAATGTGAAAATAGGAAAATGTTAAGACTCCTTTTGACAGGTTTCAAGAATAGATTTGATGAGTGAGAGATCCGCCCTGTACGAGAGAACAAGTCTGGGACACGACTCCCTAATTCCTATGTTCTTATCAACAAGATTAAGTTTTAAAATAATGTTTAAAAAAATTAAAACCCAAAAATAGTGTTTGTCCTTCAGGAAATAATGATATAAATTACGTAAATAGAAATATAAAATAATATGCAGATGTATGTTGTTGTTTAAAATTTGCTACTTGGATCAAAAAGTCCCAAGTAGCACGGACTATGGCGAGCCCAGAGTGGACTATATGCATGCAGCTGTAGATTTTAAATTGTATTTTTCACAAGAACTGAAAATTCTCTTGTAATTAAGGTTGAAGAAAAAACGGAAATATTGCACCACTCTCAATATCTGCAAGAATGCATGATACCTTACACTAGTTACTAAAGTAAAGTTTAGTGTGACATTGATCACTGTATCAACCCGGCATCTGGCCATCCGGCTCCCAACACCTACCTGACGCAGACGCCAACGGTAACATAATCATCGCCACAATATAACACAAGCGCGCCATGCTGAAGGAGGTGGAGGCAGCAGTGACCAGCCTTCAGCGCTGGTGGAGGTTATATACCCACTGACGCCGACGAGAAAGGAGGGGGAACTATGCTATTGTCCAGAGGGCGACTTTGGTGGGAACATTGACTGCTGCTGATACTGCTGCGGTGCCAGTCCTCATGCGAACGAGGAGAAAATATAATTATTAATCTATGTAATTTATCGTGACTTTAGCTAGACTTTTGTAACAGTGGCTCACAAAAAATTGATTAGAAAGAATATTGGTGGTAATCCTAAGTTAGATTAGTGCAGGATAATTTTACAGGAAGCAGAGCCTTCGCATAGAGTTAAGTTCGAGTGGGAACTTAACAGTATAGAGTCTTAAGGCTCTGTCATGTCATGGACCATGTCATGTCATGGAAGTTAATGTGGTTGGCGTTAATACTTTCCAGAGCCTGATAGGTATTTAGCTTGACACTAAATTAAAGATGAAATTTAATACTATTGTTCAGCTATATCTTGTCCGTGTTTGGCCTATTTAGATCAGGGCAATACAATTTTGGACATAAATTCCCTTAAACGTTCACAGACAAGGTTGACAAAGTTAATTCCAGGGAATTTGAAAGTTCCCAAATATAGTTTAATTAAGTTTTGATTTACATTATTTCAACATATGGATGAGTTTGGTTCGTAATAAAGTGGAACTGCCTCCCATTACTCAATGGCCATTCCCTAGTATTCTCCTTTTTTATCTTGTTCCGAGATCATTATCAAAATTGGGGGAATAGTTGCGAAAGAAATTCAAGGGTGATGACAGTGACTGGAGGCCTTGGCAACAGTGTGTCTTTGCGCGAAACAAAATAAACAGAACCCTTGAGCTTATAATCCAACCTGTTCTCTTACAAAGAACGTCTCGTTTCGATCGTATGCGTTACTTAAGGCCAAAAATTGCCATACTAAAAAATGGAATTGGCTGGCGAAAGTGACGTACTGTCCCGTTTTCTGTTTTGGGTCCTCTGGTAAGTTAGGAGAGACTACTTTAAATTGACCGTTTTCTTGACGTTGGGAAACCTTAGAATGAATAGGCTGTATAATCAGACGAGTCGGTGATAAATGGACCCACACATCGTTTCCCATTTATATTTGACTGGTGAGGCTCCATTTACATTTCCCCGGCCAATTCTGGTCACCTTTATTACTGAGTGGACATAAATTAACGTAAGGTGATTACTCTAGTCCCTGGTGTTCTGGACTATCCATATCATACATGTTTTGAGAGCTGAGCTTGCATTGCCTCCTCTGGTGTGTCGAGGAAAGACATGATCAATGCCCTCAAGTGTATGAGGGAAATCAATAGATTAAACATGAGTAATGATCTGAAAAGATCTGACCAGAACAAAACACTTCACAGTTCTCATAAGCTAGAAAAGTTCCCATTAAGGACATAGGGGAGGGGGAAGTACTGGTTTGGCAACAGGTTGGTTGAAGGATATGGTATAAGTGCTTCACAAATAGACTTGATAGATTCATAGGGTGACTGGTTGAATGGCCACTGACCAAAATGGGTCAACAGCCCCGCCACGCTGTGTTATTCGTATTTTGTTTTTATCTAATTTCGTCGAGCAGATTGGGAAGGTAATGGTCATCTGGAGGTGTTCCCATCGTGTGTCGTCGAGAGCGGTCCCGTGCAGAGCCGATATCGGTGGCCTGTACGAGCAGTCCATACTGGTACTTATGCTTAAAACACACACACACCAAACATGGGTAATAGCAACAATCATTGAGGCACTCCACTTGTTACCCTATTACTTGTCCGATCCCTTGCTCCTCGACACGACTTTGACTCCATTCTGTTGGGTATTCTCACTCTTATTTCAATGATCCTTTGTTCCCACCTTCTCAAATTTGTTTCTTTCTCAAGTTTCTGCTCTTATGCAGAATGGTGTCAAAAGATTTTTGAGTTCCGAAAAATGCAACCTACTTATCCTTTTCTGTTGTTTATCATTTTTGTTACTTTATCATAGAACTTTATTAGGCTCATTTGCCATGATTTTACTACAGATTTTGCTTGATTGTTTTGATAATTACTTCTCTAAAGGCGTGATGAAGTCTGTTGATATGCGTAATAAACTCTAGAGAATTTGATGTGGATTTTAATTTGTGAAATTTCTGTATTCGACAATTATATAATAATTAAATAAATCATTGTGTCGGGGGACAGGAAGCCAGAGTGTATTCATACACGTTATAAAGGTCCTCCCCCAAGGTCGAATTTCTGACCCCGCCCAGGATGCAACCCCACAACAAGCTGAGTAACTCCTAAGTACCTACTCACTGCTAGGCGAACAGACGCATTAGGTAAAAGGAAATATGCCCAACCAATTCTGACTCGCCCGGGGATTCGAATCAGGAATTGTCGATTGTACGTCGCGAACGAACCCGACTATACTACCAGGATCCTTATAAATCTAGATTGGTGTTGACCAAGCAGCCTGTTGTTGTCTATGTAATCAGAAGTTTAATATGTTTTAGAACATAGATCAGAACATATATTAGAAGTATATGTTTTATCTTGAACAGAACTTCCTTACCAGGTAATAACTTTGATAACCATGAGATAAGAATGTCAGGTATTTAAATATTATTTTGGTAACCAAGGGATAACAATGCTGTATAAGATGGATAGATGCAGCATGATTGAGCTGCATCTATCCAAACCTTCACTAACGTCTGGAAATGCTGATGTTTTTAGGTAAAATACTAACACTAGTTTTTTTTTTTTTTAGATATCATGTCCAAATACTTGCAGGGGGTTCTATTTCCCTAAACCGGCCTGGTTAGGTGACAGTTTGGATAATTTGTATATAAAATAAATTATGTACCATTGAACTTAGTACTGGTACACAATCCAATTGAGAGTAAGTTTTATAAACAACAGTTAAAATGGTTCATATTTCTCAATTGAGGTCGAGGGATGCCAGAGACGGTACCGTCTGTTCACAGATGAAGGGTCCTATATCATCACATGGATAATCATAAAAGTATCCGGAATGCAACTCCATAACCAAGCAGTTTCGCTTATCATCAATTGGAGGGCGCCCAGGATACCAGAAGGGACAGCCTCTCTGTACAGTGGTGCCATCGACCCAGTGCCAACTGCCTTCTTCTCCTTTGTCATAACCACCAACCCAGTGCCAGACATTTCCATCTGAAATGGTTAAATTATGTAAAAATATATATGCTCTATCACTGTAACCATTTCACTACACACTACATCACTGTAATCAAAAGGTTATCAAAAGGTTATGCCTGAACGCAAATGTGTCATCTAAGTCATAGACCCATTATGGATCATTATGTTATCCTGTTTTAGTTCAAGTTATAGACTGATTAGGGTTCGGCGGATGGAGCGGTTAAGACTCCAAGGTATGAAGTATTTAGAGTCCAAGGGTACGGACCTGTATATGGTCCTCGAGGGATTGGGAATAAATAATCTTTATTCAGATACATTACTCATAAAATCAGGGAAGAACTATTCAATGGATTCGTTTTTTGACATTCTTGAAACACGACTGATGGTTTATGGAAGTGTGGCATCACAGAGTCCACACTTCCACCCACAAATTTCTAAGTAGGTTGAAGAACTAAAGCATACAATAAAAAGCAAAATGAGTATAGAATGAAATTGAAAATAAATAAATGAATAATAAAAGAAAACAATAAACTATAAGTAACAAAAATTATATAACATTAATTTCTTAAATTTTAATTATAATTGATGTAAGTGCTTACACTCTAGGATAATATGCTGTCGTATAGCGCCCAGCTGGTCACAGGAGTGGACAACTGCCAGGTCGGAGTTGTATTCATCAGTACTCAGGCTCAAGCAGTAGTCCCTGGCGTCGTTCCTGTGAATACTCTTGTGTATTATTGAGATAAAACACCTAACAAAGGTTCTTGGAACTCAGGGGCATCTCATATATATTTATAGGACATTGAAACTCTGAAGGCTGAAAATGATCCATTAATACTCCAGACTGACCTTACAAGCTGTTGCTGTCTTAAAATATTATACAAACTTGCCTTAGCGTTTCAAAACGTGATTCCAAATTAAATTGCAAACCATATTCAATGAACCGAACTTGAAAATTATTAGAGAAAAACTCGTAATAATCATTTTCGATAACAAATTTAAAAAAGTTAACCTTTTTTGGGATGTTCTTTTTTTCGTATTTACTTTATAAACAAATAAATGTTGACTGCAAATTCTGGAGGAATTGACATAACGTATCAACTCACCATGTCATAAAAGTCTCGTGGAAGTAGAAGCAGCTGCCTGTGATGGGGATGAAGGGACTGTTGCAAGCTACAAGGAGAGAGACAATCATACACTCAAAAGTTCGATTGCAAAATTCACAAAATTAAGCAACTTGATAACATCAAAATTATTCTGTATGAGACGACTTTCAAGACCTCTCTAACTAGCATATTCTTTTAATAATTCAACAATGCGACACGATATATGACTTCACTTCAAGCTCTCGTCGAACTCTACGTAATTGGGGGGTCGTTCTTATCTCCCCAATTTACTGCCTAATAATTCAAGCATATTTGAGTCAGGAATATGGAGGAGGTACTGGAGGAAACATACTGAACTGGACCAGATCCTACTGAAAAATAAGCCCCAGAGTTAGAATTAATGACGCTGTACTGGTCCTACTGGTTTTCATAACTGTGTCCATCGACCGTGATACTGGAGTGATTAGGAAAATAAACAACTTAGTGGACAACACAAGGACAGACCATGTGGTGAATACCAGAGAAGATTGTTACCTTCTGATGACTGAAAAGGGCACATGAACACACCCTGTTATGGGTGGTGAAATTGTAAAGTCAAGTTAATGTTGAGAAATACAAATTCCTTTACACAAGGGAAAGACAGCGACGATATTTACCCCACGAATAATAGTCATGGATGAATGGAAATGTGAAAATAGGAAAATGTTAAGACTCCTTTTGACAGGTTTCAAGAACAGATTTGATGAGTGAGAGATCCGCCCTGTACGAGAGAACAAGTCTGGGACACGACTCCCTAATTCCTATGTTCTTAT